AAAATGTCAAGAAACCTTACGGGTTCAGAGTTGGCACCAGGCAGGGCCGGACTCTCAGTGCTGATTAACATCACTTCTTTGCCGACGTTGAAACACTTTCCAGTCACAGTACTGGTTAGCCTTTTCAGTTTATTAATGTTGACTTTAATTTCTCCACCATCGGTTCTGGTTGAACTGTAGTTGTCAGAAAGATTTAAACCTTAGTGTTAGCAAACCGACGGGCAGAGGGAACTACAGTCAACAGTTTAGAACCAAAGACAGAAATTTCAGTGCAGTCCTTTTCTTCTCTTTCTCCACTTTCATCTTGATCAAATCAGTCAAGTCGCTACTCGCACAGCGCTTGCCATAAATGGAACTGGAATAATGTGCAGACAAAAGTTTGATCGATTAAAGCCGTTCTAAACAGCCAAGTGTTATAACAAAGACACAACAAACAGCAAACTGATTCTGACATGACATGGATCTCATTCTGAAACAAACACCTTTAATCATGTGCTTTTATGAATTATCATTGGAAATGTAGAGACACGTCTGAGCTGTAAGTTTGCAGATCACTTTGAGAATCGAATTACGCTGTCGTACAGAGGAGGAGTATCAAACTGTGGCCTGTCACTTTAATGACTACTGAGTGAGATTGAGTTGTGCTGGTTATCCTGCCCATAGTGTGTCTCAGTAAAAAAAAATCACATGGCTCTTATTTGAACTTATCTGTGGGAAAATGCCGCTCCTTCTCGCTCCTAATGGACGACAAACAATGATCTATCACGAGTGTTTTTCCAAGTGTCATCTTTATTTCTGTCTCTCTGTGTAGACGCCTTTAGTCTTTTAAGACTCACTCACGTCTCAGCAATGTGAAATATGTACAGTGTAAATGAACACACTCCACTGAGGCCAGGGTGTCCCTGAGCCGTGTTCGTCATCTCTTCCACATCTATTCGGTCTGTGACACGATCAAGGAAATCCTGTTTGACCGCACACTCCCAGCTGGTTTTGTGTCTCACTGTTGTGTTTGCGTGTGTGTACGCGTTTTTGTTTTTAATGCACAAGCTCTTTGTTAACTTTGATCTCATGATCACATCCTGGGTGTGGTTCTGCAATAGAGGAACATTTGTGGAAAGTGGAGCAGACCGAGCTGTTCTGTTATGTAACGACTGGTCACGAACAAAACCACTGAGAGAGGATTTTAATAGCCCAGATGAGTGTTGTGTGAATTTACTTTCTATGTCACGAGCTGGATGATGGGAAGTTTTATGTGCTTTATATACAAAGTACAGACATTTTTAACACAGCATTTTTGCAAAACAACAAAAAGCAGTTTTGAAGCCTGAACTATTTTCACAAAGAACAGAGCAGTGATTTTAAAACTGTGGTTTTATCTGTTTATATTAAATTCCAATATACAAACTTAGTCCAAGGTTTGAGCAGTATTTGTTTTTTTAATCATTCTGAGTTTTTATCTTGCTCTGTAAGAATCAGAAATGAAATATTTCAAAAACAAGAGAATGAATAGAACGCATTTCAAAAGACTAAAGAATAACTTCTAAAACACAAATGAGATTTTCAGCCTTATCTTCTTTGACATTAAATTCTTTTTTTGTATGCCATAGATGTAAACACCCAGAATAACTCGTCTCTATCCTTCATATTGAGGTAAACTCGAAGCTTATTATTGGGTCAGACGTGACCTTTCTAGAACTTCCTTACCAAAATGTGTTCCCTTTGGCTGTGGTAAAAAAAGACATGGAACCCGAAGAACACTGATCCTACAGGGAAACAGGAATGTTCAGGTATTAAGGGAGGTTCAGGTTTGACTGTAAAGAAAAAAAAAGACTGTACAAAAGTTGTATTTACGCTCCTTTGCTGTGTGTTTTCTTAACAGTAACCTCTGCATTGTAAAATAACACCATTATCTGTCTGTCTGCAGGTTTGGAGGGGCGGAACCTCATGGCACGGCCAGAGACTGTTGTGTTCCTCTGCTGCTGCAGAAGGTAAGGCCTCATAAAGGGGTTTCCCTGCTAGAATAAAACTCCACATCCATTTCCTGCTTCCATCGACAAAAAGCAGCTTTGCACGAGATTTTTATCTTCATTGATCAGACAGCAAAGCCTCGTTTGCAGTTAACAGCCTGTAGTTGTTAATATAAAATCTGTCTCTGGGCAGTTTCTGTTCGTCTCTGTGTGAGAGGCACAAGACGTGAGGAGTGTGAACAGTGACGGGGAAAAGAGACAAAAAAAAGAGGCCAAAACAGTGAAACAGAGAGGCAGCTGCTTTGCAGAACAATGTGATTTGAAGCAGCATTTGATCGGAGATCCCACCGACACCTTTAATAACAACCTGCCCGCTATGCTTGGATGGAGGAGGACAAAACAAAGAGGGGTAACGTGAGGAGAACGGTGCAAGTATTTGGGGCCAAAACTTCCACCTGTCGCCGGAGTTGATGCAAAATAAGACGTCTGCATCTCTTTGTCTTTGAACACATTGGGGGACGCACCCGAAATGGAGCCCTGCTCTCACTGGCTGTGCCACTTTGGCCATCCTTCACTTCTTGACTCCAGCCCAAGAAGAGATCTGCTGATTCACTGCAGTGGTGCTGAGCAGCAGGGATGAGGGGTGGGGGTGGGGGTGGTGTGGGGGGAGTTGGGTGCAACAAGGCTGTTTGGATCTCACTGCTGTGTGATTCCTCTGCATTAATGCATGGCTCTGACGTCAGGGGCCTCTCAGCATGATGACGGTCTAAAGTGTACAGGATTGTAATGACCAATTACTGACTGCTGGAAATGGATTTAGAGACACACCCTTTAATATTTTGCAACATCCATTGAGGAAGTTAGTGTAGTCGTTGAAGATTGCTCACCTCACTGTTACCACTGAAGTATGTAGGAGGTTTTATGGAAGCTTAACAATACTACAAGTGAAACCTAGAAGGCTGTCGGGGCAGGTTCTGTACATGTAGTAGTATCACAGACTCCATTCCCAGCAGAGCTCGTGCTTTCTTTAGTAGTCACCACAGTGACTTAACAAAAGAAAATATTAGTGTCTCTTTTTTGAGGTTGCTAAGACATTATTTAAAAAAACAAACCTGTAAAGAAGTGCAAACATTTTCTTTCAGGGTTAGGTTTAATGGTTAGGGTTAGAGTTAGGGTTTCTGATTCTCACAATTTTTGCAATTTGTTTCTGGTGGTCTCTTCGATTGTCCTTCCTCCACGTACACGTTGTTCAAAGAAAGTTTTAGTCCTTCTTTGGGAGAGGGGAATATCAATATTTGGCATTAAAACATCATAGTTATCATCGCCCAGTGGTAGAGGAATTTTAGCAATTTAATGCAACATTGATTCTTGGTGACTTGGGACCAGGGCTGGTTTGCACAGTCAGCAATGGGCTGATGGATAGAGATGCCCCAGAATTCACAGAGGCTTTACAGCTACGTCTGGAGGTAGCTGCTGTTGTTAGCTGCTTTGTTATAGATATTTTGGCATTTACATCAGTGGAGTGTAGGGTGACCACCTCCATTCCTGATTGCGGCACAAGTAGCAGGTTTGAGTGGGACAATGAGGCACAGCCGCAATCATTTACAGCCAACCCTTTTTTTTTAACTAAGTAACGTGCTTGTATCTCACCTTTTACCCACACAAAACAAACAAAAAACTCTATAGCACCCTAGACATAATCTAAACCTGAAAAGCACACACATTAATTCTTAATTCTTCTAGCAGATAAAACACACTTTCAAATTAAACAGTTTAAAAGTAAACAGGTCTCTGTATAACCAACAACTCCTGTGGACTATATGGCCATCAGTGACCAAAACATGAAAATAAAAAATAGAAATACAGTACTCCAGCGCCACTAAACAGATTCTGCATCGTTGTAGAACTCTCTACAGCCATGTGCATAGATTGAGATTTAAGATTTTCTGCAGTCGGTAGACTGACATGAATGTGCATATTGCACTGCATGGTAAACACTGGTCACTTCTACTGCAGTAATTTTAAACAACTCGTGTTTGTCATTTGAGTGTCATTTGGTTTGCATAAAACATACTGGACACTTTTGGATGTCTGTTGTTGTGTGCTTATTGTGTGAGACTCACGTGTCATCCGGTCGTTTCCCATCAGATTCACTGCCATGTCCGACAGAAAAGCCTTTTTTACACAAATTGCAGAATGCTGCTTCAGAATCTCCATCCACCGGTCTCAGCCAAAAGGTGGCGTCTTCTTAGTACGCATGTGCGCCTTCACAGTATCAAAACAACTGCGCGCTCTCCGATTTCAGCCACACAAGTGTGTGTAATTGCTGCGAGTCAGCAGTTTGATTGACACCCCACTCAGCCTGTCAGCTACCGCCTTATCCATTTAGTAACCTATCATCGCTATGAGCCGCACTGATATGGACATGCCCATAGACAGCCAGGTACATAAAATAGTTTATTTTTTAATTATGTATTATGTCGAATGAAAAGGTGGGACAAAACGTTGAATTTGTCTGAGCCTAAAATTGCTGTGCAATACAACGTAAAGCGGGACAGGTGGTCACTCTGATGGAGTGTGATAACAGTCAGTGACTTTACTGAGAAATCACTGACGGTTGACGCTACTGCTGCTGTTGTGCCCCCTGCTGGCTGCTAAACCACACTATTATAGGTTTAAATGGCACAGTAAAATCACTTGTGCAGTCGACTTGTGGGACTTCTGAAGTTCAGAATAAACATTTGCCACAGTTTACTGCATTTTATGGACCATGATGATTATTTATGAAACAGTTTAAAGATTTTATGACTTCTAAATGTAATTTTATTTAAAATATACTTTGTTGTCATTGTTCATATTGCTTGATACAATTCACCACAACCCACCCAGATATGTGAGTCGATTCGCTCGATCCTCTAATCATTATTTACATGCCTGCTAAGCACAAATAAATACGATCTGCTTCTGATTCATCCTTATTTTCCCCCTTAAAGTAAATTCAGAATTCCAGTCCAGGTGCATTTGTCAGACCTCTGCTTTCCTGCTCTGACCATTGTCCTTCTTCCTCACAGAGGTGACGGTGGCCTATCAGAATGGGCTGCCCGTGATCTCAGTCACTTTGCCTTCACGACGAGAGCGCTGTCAGTTCACCCTCAAGCCTCTCAGTGACTGTGTGGGAGTTTTCCTGCAACAGCTGCAGGCGGAGGACAGAGGCATCGACCGAGTAGCCATCTACTCCACAGGTATGTGTCAAACAGACACGTCCATTCAGCTCAGGTTACATTTAAAAGACCTTACATGTTTCAGGTGTTCCTGTGTTTTGAAGCTTTTGTGTTTTCCTTAAAATAAATAAATAAATAAAATACACTTTAATACTAAAACATGCGCCATGAGCTGGTCTATCCGCCCCCACTCTGCTCCCGGGGCTCATTATACGCATCACAACGACTACTTAAATGCTTTGCCCTCGCTGTAATTGGACATGTGTCGTTATGAAAAGCGGTGAAGGGTTTTTTAAAGCAGTTTGCCGTCAACGCTCCATCTCTCTCTCGCCTCTCTTCCCCCGCCTGTTTAGATGGAGCAAGGGTGGCCTCCTCCACGGGTATAGACATCCTGCTGCTGGACGACTTCAACCTTGTCATCAATGACACCACATACCTCGTGCGGCCACCGAGAAGAGGTGAGAAGTGACAACAGAAGAAGAAGAAGAACATTAGGCCATTTTTAAACCAAATAAAAATATCAGCCAGTATTTTTCTGTAAAAAAAAATCTTGAACAACTTGTACAGATTTCATTTTCAATTTTGATATACAGTATATATAAACAGTATAGGTTAATACTTTATTGTACTGCTAAACTTCTATATAACACTGTGCTACTGTGTGTGTGTGTGTGTTTGTGTGTGTGTCACAGAGATCCTGCCCCACGAGGAGGCAGAGAGGCTCAATGACGTCAAGTTTCTGGTGCAGCAGCTCTACACCACTCTGCGCATCGAGGAGCACCAGCTTAGCAAAGAGCGCGAGCTGATTGGCCGACTGGAAGATCTCAACTCTCAACTTCGCCCCCTAGAGAAGGTCATTATTATTACTGACTTGTAGTAGTTAATGTGGTAATAGTCTTAATAGTATTGGTGTCTTCTGCAGAACTAGTTATTAGGCAGTACGAGATAAATGAGTGAATAGAATTGTATTAGGTAGCTGTTTTAGCGTAATCTACTGCTGTTTTAATTAAAGTACATATTTTGTATGATATCTGGCATTGTTTTTTTTCTTGCACTTGTAAGACTGGTTAGGGACTGTCAAATAGCTGAAGTCATCAGGGACGGTTAAGAGGCTACTGAGTTGGGAAATTGGCAAAGCAATGAACTCGTCATCCTCTTTAATGACATAATCAATTTGTGATCACAACCAAACAGTTTGTCTTGTGATAATTAGGTCTTTATCGGAGAACCGCAGTCTAAGCAAACGGCTTCTCTTATTTGTATTCAGTTTTTGTGCTGAAAGTCCACTTCTGGACTGTTTTTTTTTCTTTTAAAACGGACCCACCCTGTCGCTGTTTCTGTGCAGGTGAAGGAAGAGCTGAGTAAGAAGGCAGAGCGACGCACCACCTGGGTGCTTTGGGGGGGCATGGCGTACATGGCTACCCAATTTGGCATCTTGGCCCGGCTCACCTGGTGGGAATACTCCTGGGATATCATGGAGCCTGTAACTTACTTCATCACTTACGGCACAGCCATGGCCATGTATGCCTACTACGTGCTGACACGCCAGGTAAGAAGCAACGATATGTCAAATCAAATGATCGCAAAAAAATTGCAAAACAATCAATACTAAAACAGTGAAAAATCAGTTTATTTTGAACTGTTCTAATATGTATTTATTATACAAAAAAAGCAAAAAAGACATAATGCATGTGGCTCATTTAGGAATTATTTTTAAACACTATTTGAAGTTACTAAGCAGAGCATGTTGTATTTAAAGATATTTTGGAGGCAACAGCTGCTCTATATGTTAAAATCAGCTCCAGTTCTCCCTTCGTTCAGGTATATATGGGATATTTCTCAGCTCAGGGGGCGGTCATGGCCCTTTGATGGGTCATAAAGTCAAACAAATGAGCCACAGAACTGTTGGTGGTAGTTTATGATGTGTGGCATTCCCCAAGGTTCACTTCATGGCCCCTTGTTATTTTACATACACATGCTTCTTTAAGAATATAATATATGGTGACAAAATCAATATCAGTGTTATGTATCATTCTAATGTTCAATCAACCAAAAAACATCAAGTCCTGTTATATAACATTTTAATATTTTTTCTCACCTGCATATATAATTTCTTACTAAGCAATGATATTTTTTCACATACAGCTTGTTTGAGATGCAGGTACTTGCCCTGAAACCAAAGCCTCCACATTACCTTTGTGCTCTCTTGAATAATAATTTTAAAATCAATGGTGATACTTTACCAACTATCAAAGTGATTTTTAACATAGCTGCCAGCTTCATTACCATACGGACCTGAGCACAGCCTCAGATCATCACACAGACCTGCCTTGTCACTGTGTTCCATCGAAAGACTTTAAAGTGGATGGACTTTTGAAGTGAAAGCTCACAGCCCTGGTACATTCTACCACATTAGTCACTGACTTCCAGTTTTATCAGGTATTATTTTCTCTATTGTTTCAACCATGTCATGCAGTAACTTTTAAGTCCATCTTTTTATCTTGTCTTATTCGGCTTCCACTTAACACAAACTCCTTGAGCATCAGCAGTGAGAACTGTTACAGTAATGGAGTTTCTCTTTACAACAGCGTGTTCCAAACACAGACATTATTTTTGGCAGATTCAGAGGCTGATCTTGTGTCAGTGATGACCTTCGCAGTTGAGGGTGTCACTGGTGTGATCTGATAAACTCACTTCCTCATACAAAGTGCTCCGTCTGTGTCTGTGTCTGTAACCTGCAGGAGTATGTTTACCCCGACGCCAGAGACAGGCAGTATTTGCTCTTCTTCCACAAGGGGGTGAAAAGGACACGCTTTGACATCGAGAAGTACAACAAGCTGAAGGATGATATAGCTGAGGTACAGTCTGTCTGAGGTTAAGTGACCATAGAAAAATCGACCAGGAGTCACATGAAGTAGTCTTGAATGAACACTTATTTATATTTGATATTATTCCTATTTTTTTAAAACACACTTCTACCTTCTTCCTCCCCTTCCTCACTCTCCTCCCTCTCCTCTCATCTTTAGGTGGAGTTGGATCTGAAGCGTCTTCGAGATCCGCTCCAGCTCCAGCTCCCAGTTCAGCAGCTCACCGCCAGTAATAATTGATAGAAAGAGTGACTCCCTCTTTTCTCTGCTCCTACAACCTTCTTTTCTCTCCTCCCCCGTGCCGTCCAACATCCTTCCCCCCTTTTCTTCTTCCCACCCCCACTCCCAATAACCCCATCCCCTTTCTCAACTTTGGGAGTTGGGAGCTATGTTTTTGTTTGTTTGTTTTTTTTCTTCTTTTTTTACGTTCCTGAATGAATCCTCCAGTTGGAATAGCAAGTTAGTTAAAAAAAAAGAAGCTAAATGACAAAGAAGATGATGAGAATACCAGAAACTGACATCTCGTACCGGTGAAGATTGATGAAAATGGAAGGTGAAAAAGATGATAATGATGGTAACGATGATAAACTGGGCACTATGGATATGCCTCCAGTCTCCACAGAGACGGTCTGTAGTGAACTCCAGAGATAATAGGAAATTATCACACCTCCAGACACTCCAGGACAGAGGACACACAGAAGGACATTGTTAGAATGTGTGTGTGTGTGTGTGTGTATGTGCGCGCGCCCGTGTGTGTGTGACTGCATTTTTGTGTGTGTGGGACTTTCAGGGGACACTGGGACGACAGCAGATCCACACAGCTGTAACGTTCCACCTCCTTGAGGAGTCGAACAGTGACCACACACCTCCTCCTGGTCAGGAGCCGTCTCCAGGGAAGGACTCTTATTATCACACACATTAAAGTTTACAAGAAAGTCCAAGACTGCATTTGCACCATCGAGGAGATCTTCGTCTCCCTGGAGCTGAACTCTGCTGCCTCTCCCTCCCTGGGCCACGTCTCCCCCGGGCGAAGGACAGCTGTCCTTCCTACTGTGACCTTTGTCAGGAGCGTGTCTCGACGCGCAGGACGGCGACGCCTCGTTTCCTCTTCCTGTTGACGTCCTCCAGTCTGCGCCCACCGGTCTGCGCAAGTATAAGAGTACTACCGACAACAACATCACTGTGTGTTCTTTTATTCCAAAAAAAATATTTTGGCACTTTTTATTTTGAAAGCCATAGTATATTTGTTATGAGAAGAATATAAATATATATATATATATATATAAATATATAAATGTACACAATCAAATAAACAGATGACCAGAGGCTAGTTTCTTTCAGTGGGGGGAGGAGCTCTTTTCTTTTAGAATTTATGTCAGTTTTCCCCCTTTAATGGCTCACATCAGTGTCTCGTACAGTACAGTAGAAAATAAACTGCAGTATGTACTCTGGCATATCTTTTTATGACAAATACTTGAAGTATACCACAGAGACTGAGGGCCATGTGCATGGCCCCATGATTCAGAAACAGTAAAAACAACCTTATCAGGCTGTAGATGTGTACTAGTGTTTTTCTCTAATCTCGAAACAACACATGAGCAAAGTTTAAAGGTCAACACAGCTCAGTGTCTGACTGTGACGCCGGCCATGTTGCTGTTGTTGTTATTCAGCCACAACTGACATATTTCTTTATGTCTATAAGGAGTAAATGTAGCCATCTGCCTGCAGCAGTGAAGACACAGCAACGAGAAAGAAGATCTTTCCTGGATTTTGAAGTAGAACTCATTGGAAAGATAAAGTTTCCTTGACATTGAGAGGAAGCACCTGACTGAAGACTGCATGGTTTTAATCCCAGTTTCAGGTCTTCTCTATCCTAAGTCTCAATTTAACAATCTGGACTTAGTTGTGGTACAAAGTCAACAAATATAAAGATGAAATAGTTTGACTTAAATAAGCAGTTGACGCCGTGAGTCAGTTCTCAGACAAAAAATAATCGATAAATGTTTCTAGTTGTTTTTGACTTGAAATTTAGGATGTTGAAGAATCACATCATTGAAATCAGATCTAGTCTAATTTGAAGAAATAAATTTAGAGGAGAATAGACGATAAAAGTACAGGCTCCTGGTCTAGTCTTTTTCTGCTGAACAGGATCATTATTTATGAAGTTGACATGATGTTTTTTTTTAAGAAGACCTGGAACCTTGAACAAGAAGGGGAAATCAAACTCCCACAGACGTTCTCCTCTTCAGTTCTTGTCTATTTTTTTATATTAAATATCAATGATTTGAAGATGGCGACATACATGTACATTTCAAATTCCTTCCCCAATGCTGGTTTTCAGAGGTGGGGTAGTTAAGTGCACTGGAAAATAAATGCCCCCAAAATCTCCAAAAATGTAAGCATTTAATTTAGTATAAAATCAGGACACAGGTGTGATTCACATGACTAACAGTCTCAGTGAACCTTTCTGTACCTTCAGTGCTCTATGGATCAGATCATTGTCCTGTTTCTCCACTCATTATCCAGGTGTTACCTCCAGAGTCTAATTCAACAATGAGGCGAAACCAAACCGAAACGGCTGCTTTGTGCAAAATGACAGGCATGTTATAGTTTTCTACAGCTGATGTGACATGAATGGCTTTAATAAAATGCAGTTTACAGAAGGAAGCAAGCGTCGGCTAACGTGTTTCCCCTCGCTGTCTGAGATTGGTTACACCTAAAAAAAAAAGAAAAAAGCAACATGACAATGAGACGCTGATTCATAGAGGCCTTTAGTTTAGATAAATCCTTAAATATCAGCAGAGCTTTCTCCTCCCACTGTTGCTGTAATGCCCCCTGTTCCCTTGATGGCAAGGCAGGGTAGACTGCATGCTGTGGTATGCCCTCAGTAGAAATTTGTGAATGTGTAGGAGCATTATTGCAGTTTTTGTACTTAATTGGACAGTTTTTCTTTGCCACATCTAGCTGAAGTGTCACCCCACGCCTGGTTGAATCAAAGACTATAACAAGCATATGATTATGTCCAATTTCTTTTCTTTTCTTTTTTTTTTTACACTTCTGTTGATGGGATTGTCACTGCCTATGTCTCTGTTAGTGAAGGTTTGTAGCCTTGAGGACTGAGGATCATTGGCCCCTCTCTACTGTCATACATGTGACTCCACTCTGGTAGTTTGACCCTGCACTGCTCTAGATCACCACTTCTGCAGAGAGGAAGCACAAAAACACAACATCTCTGCACACACACATATACACACTCCAGTTCAGTGTCATCTCCTGTTTGTGTGTGATCATTCAGCTGAATCCTACCAAGGAGCACTCAGTGATTTCTACGGTCAAATCAGAATTTACTCATGCGAATCTTCAAAGCAGGATTTGGTCTGATCTTGTGTGATCATGGCATGTGTGTGTGTGTGTTCGTGTGTGTGTGTGTGTTTGTGTGTGTGTGTGTGTGTGTGTGTGCCTGATGGATAAATGTGTTTTCCAAACATTTTTATAGAATGGAGTGTTTCATTGTCTAAAGTTGGCGGTGTAGTATGGGGTCGTGCTGTTTGAGATCACAGAGTCATGTGACTAGTCATCAGGGGAAGAAAAATTCAGTCTAACGATGAAGCCTGTTGTGCTACTTTTCTTCGATGTCGAGAGGCAAAAACATTTTTGTTCCGTTTGCTCTAAATGTCGTTACAAGTGCTAAGCAACATGTCTAGGACCGTGGTCACTGTGAAATGGCCTCAGAAGCACAGTCACATCAGTGGTGAATGTAAGAACTCAACAGCTACTACAACTGGCCCTACATCCATGCACTACTGTGTACTAACAGGTACTGTGACACTAATAATTTAACTGATATAGCTTTAATGTCAGTTTTTTTTACACCGCTGCCCTTTTTTTTCTTGTTAACAATTATATGCAGAAAAGAGAAAATACAGTCAGAGGGCAGGGTCTCTGTGTAAACACACCTGTAGAGGTCCATTATAAATGACTAGCTTTGTTCAATTTTGTAGTTTACATCATTTGACAAACACCATCTCTTCCTTTACACAGGCACTGTATAATGTTATGAGGGTTCTGGTCATGTTTCACAGCACTTGTAATACTATATTGAGCATGTTAAGACACAGACATCGGAGTAAAGTAGAACAGTGTGATCCATGTTTGACCAAATGTTCTCTCTTTTCCCCACACTGAACCTGATGACCTTAAACACATCACTGTGTGTGGACAGATTCATGCTGTACATGGAAATATCTAGAACTGGAAGTCAGCCGCTCTCCATTTGTGTGTGTGGGGGTGTGTGTGTGCACATAGAGTCTGAATCCTCTTGATGAGTGATGTGATCAGTGGCAAAGTTCAGATCACCATTTTAATGGAAACTTTGCACCTAATCTCTGACTGTCAATAGTGGAAAAAAAAATCGGTTTCTGCTCCTCATCCCACTACACAGCCATTCACACGGTTTCCAATTGTTCATTGTTCACACACACACACACAGGCATAGTGATGATGCTGTTACCTTGGAGATGTGCGTGTTTGTGTGTGTGTGTGTGTGTGTGTGTGTGGTGAGAGCGTCCACTCCTCCTCTCTGCTGTTTCTAACACGTCTCGTCATCATCACCTCCTCCTTTGTTATTTCGCCTTCCACAATTATGGCCTTATTGTTTTCTTCTCACGTTATTTTTTTTAGAACAAAATATATCAAATATAAGGGAACTTTATTATAAAGAGGGTGTTGCATGAATGTATGTTTACATGGGAAATTATGTTAAAAAAAATTACAAAAAAAAAAAGATTTATCAAAATAAGAAAAAAAAAAATCAACCTGCAGAAATGATTAAAGAAAGTTGTTTGTAGAGATTCCTAGCTGTAAAGGACAGACGACAGGGCTGCATCTTTTAGAACCTGTCCTGTCTAATCTGAAATAATCCCAGCCAACCGACTTCTCCAACACCATCAAACCCCAGTTCTTACCTCCATCTTATTTACCCCAATAATCCCACACCCGAAGAGTGGGTTTTTGTTTTTGTTTGTTTTTTAATCCCCACAGAACAGAGCAGCACCATCCATCCTGGTGCAGCTATATAGGAACTGTATGACATCAGTTACTACATCCTGGTCCTGAGTCCAGAGGAAAAGTCTCATTAGCTTTTAGGGGAAAACCTTTCTTTTTTTGTTTTGTTTTTATTTAATATGATCTTTTCTGTTTCTTCCTGAATCACATTATTTTTTATTTTATGTGTTGAATGTGTGTTTCTGTTGGTGTGCACTTATTAAAAAAATGTTTAAAAATTGCCTGAAGAGTGAAATGACCTTGAACTTCATTCAGATGTTTTTGTTTCATTTGGTTTTGGGTGCTTTGGTTTTTCTTCTGTTGACATGAGGCTGCAATGTTGGCAAAAAAAAGAAAAATGTAAAATCCTGTACCATTTATGAAATATGTATAAAAGAGAAATGTAATTCAATTATCAATAAAATCCTTATCCAGGTTTTGGAGACGCTGGTCCATATGTAGTTTTTTTTCTCTCCTCAGAGTGATGTCACACACAGATTAATGAGTTTATGGATTTTGTGAAAGCAGCAGCTCCTTCAGGTCTTGACCGTGACCTCTACTTGTCCTTGGCCTTGAGTTTTCCATGGACAGGATGTCCTAAGAGATAGGACTGACCTGAG